TTGCTATTTGCAGACTTTCAACATATTCAAAGAACATTTGTCTTCTGTTGACTTAAACTCTAGAACAACAGACAATCTGATATTTTCTAGGTGCATCTTTTCTACAAGGATCAGATCTGAAGTCTTAGATGTCTATTTCCTGATCTTAATAGTTCCTGATAAAACAGCTATATCTTTCCTGTGCTCTATTATGTTTCTACTTCTACTTGGATCCAGGAACTCCCTGCAAAAAAGATCTTTGTTGAATGCAGAACTTTGTGTAGTGGGAGATCATGTATTTTCCTTCTTTGAAAACTATTCAATCTTATCTACAGGTAGCCCTCAACATACAATCTCAATTGAACCCAACATTTCTGTTGTTAAGTAAGACATTTGTTGAGTGAGTTTTCCCCCGTTTTACAACCTTCCTTGCCACAGTTGTTGAGTGAATCTGGCTTCCCCTTGACTTTACTTGTCAAAAGGTCAGAAAAGGTGATCACATGACCTTGGGACACTGCAATTGTCATAAATTTGAGTCAGTTGCCAAGCATCTGAATTTTGATCACATGACCGTGGGGATGGTACAACAGTCATGTGAAAAACGGTCGTAAGTCACATTTTCAGTCCATTGTAATTTCGAATGGTCACTAAATGAACTGTTGTAAGTCGAGGGCTACCTGTATATAGTCCATTCTTGAATAAATATTGTAGGATTGTGCTGTACATATATTGATTTTGATAGTAGAACTGCAACAGGCAGAAATGGTTAATTTATTGTGGAGAGATGATCTTGCCAGAATGGCTTATGCCCCCCCCCCCAAAACAAGATAACATTTAGAAGTGGCTCAAGTAGATGTCTCTTTAATTTGCTGACATATAAAGGGAAGGAGGAGGAGCAGGGGTGAAATGCTACCAGTTCGGACAGGTTCAGCCGAACCGGTAGCAGCGGCAGTGTGTGGTTTGGAGAATCAGTAGCGGCAGCAGCACAAGGCTCCACTCACCCACCTGGACATTATTACTTCCTGGTTTTAACCAGGAAGTAATCTTTTTTTGGCCCTCTGTGCATGCGCCGAGAGTCCAAGCATGCATGCGATGGGTGCACACACACAGAGCACGCACTTCTGAACTGGTAGGGAAGGTAAGTAGATTTCACCCCTGAGGAGGAGATACAGCACAATCAGAGTTGCAAGATTTTGTTACAATAAAAGTAGTCTCAGACTCCCCATGGAACTGATTTTATGCTCTAGTAGTCTACCTTCCCTACAATGAAGCAAAGGATATGGGTGTACCATTTTTGCCCTTAGGAAGCACCATCCTTATAACTGAAATTTCTTAGCAAATTTATACTTCAGTTTGGGGGAATAGAGAACTTCCTGGCTCCGTTTCATTCATAGAAGCAAGCTTGCGTGTGACGGAAGGCAGGTGGTCATGATAGAATTATCCATTGAAAAATAAGAGCTGAATATTCCTCTCAAGATGGATGACTTGTTCCTTCCTGTACACGCAGATGTGCTTTTCAAAGGAGTTGAACAAAGGTTTAACAAAGGAGTGTTCCATTTCATTTTAATCTTTTGAAAAAGGTATGGCAATTATTGAAATGTGAAGGTATAGTATGGCACCGTTTCATCTGAAGAGTAGAGTTCCACACAATGCCCTCAAACAATAGTACAGTATCTGTAATGTCTCTTAAACTGCTGAACTTTTGTTTGTTAAAAATTGGAAAGTCTACATATGTCTGCCTCTCCTGTTTGCTCTATTAAAATGGCACTTCCATCTTATTTTCATTTCTAGATCTTTAAATAATAAATGTATAGTTTATAAAATCCTTATACTGGACATGGGGTTTTTTTTTCCTTTTATTTTATTACACTCGTGCATAATTCTCTTTATTTTTCTCTCAACTTCCATTTCTTTGTCAATTATTATTATCTTCATAATTGGTTTTTTTTTTCATGTGTTACTGTCTCTCCTTCTCCCCATCTCCCCCTATTCCTGCCGCTGTAGCCGCACAGGCTGGGGAAACTGGGCGAGCAGGTAGGGAATTTACCTGTTCCATAAAATAACCACCTGGCAATGGACAGACTAGATGGAATCCGGAGGCCTTTGAGTGGGGATTGTACACATGATTTGATGTGTACACGTGATTCAGTGCAGTGTGATTCAGTGTGATTCAGTGCAATAGCCAGAATTGGTCAGGAAATGTCAAGGAAATAAAATTTTGTGCAAAGAAATGAAATAATTAATAGCTGTTATCCAGATATAGTCTTCATCCAAAGACAATCAACACTTTATAACATCCTTGGGAATGTGTTCTAAAAAACAACATCAAGGTATGATGATTCTTAATGTACAAATGATCGCATTTGAACCAGAGGTGGGTTTCAGTAGGTTCTGACCATTTCTGGAGAACCGGTAGCGGAAATTTTGAGTAGTTGGGGGAACCGGTAGTAAAAATTCTGGCTGGCCCCACCCCCATCTATTCTCTGCCTCCTGAGTCCCAGCTGATCGGGAGGAAATGGGATTTTGCAGTAACCTTCCCCTGAATTGGGGACGGAATGGAGATTTTACAGTATCCTTCCCCTGGAGTGGGGTGGGAATGGAGATTTTACAGTATCCTTCCCCTACCACGCCCACCAAGCCACACCCACCAAGCCACACCACGCCCACCAAGACACGTCCACAGAACCAATAGTAAAAAATTTGAAACCCACCACTGATTTGAACTTTATAAACTGCTTCTGGTCAATCATGAAAACAGTTCCTAATGTAATACAGGTAGTCCTTGACTTACAAAAAAGGTCATTTAGTGACGATTCAACAATGCAAGGGCACTGAAAAATGTGACTTATCGCTGTTTTTCACAGTGACGATCTTTGAAGCATCTCCATGATCTTGTGATCAAAATTCAGATGCTTGGCAACTGGTTCGTATTTATGACCATTGCTGTGTCCCAGGGTCATGGGTCAACCGGGTTGCTGACTTATCAACTGCAGTAATTCACTTAACAACTGTGGCAAGAAAGGTTGTAAAATGAGGCAAAACTCACTTAAATGTCTCATTTAACAACAGAAAGTTGGGTTCGGTTGTGGTCATAAGTTGAGGACTACCTGTATTTATAGAGTGCTTCTTTCCTACTCTTCCTCTTTTTAAATAATGGTCGTGAGCTTCTCAACTCTGAGCACTAGTCTGTTAGTCTGCAACTGAGTATATTAGTACATTGACAGCTGTGCTGAACCCCTGGATGCCAACACAAGAATATAATGTGTTGACATTATGCCAAGTTGCCTAGTGATGCCCTTCTATAATTTTCTCTTGCCCTCCTTGCCCTTCTCTTGGTGATGGGATGCTGGTCAATGTTTAGTACATTTTTTTTAGATGCCTCCTGCTTTCCTTAGCATAGAACCTGGTTTTTTAAAAAAGGAGTGCCAAGAAATAAAGTGCCAAAAAACAGCCTCGAAACTCAAGAATCCAAGCACAATGTCCATTCTTCTTCAACATTGTACTTTATTTTTGTAGATGTCCCGTAGACATCTACAAAACATTTGTAGATAGTTCATCATTTCTTTATTGTCCGACTTTCCTTCAGGAGCTCAAGGCAGTACATATAACATCCTCTCCAATTTTTCCCCACCGTAACAATTGAACTGAGAAAGAGTAACTAAGCTGAAGTCATCCTGCGAGCATCTGTGGCTGAGAGCAAACCTGAAGCTGTAACATCAAACCAGCTCTCATTATAATAGCTGTCTCCTCTTTAGGCATATCCAGATTTAGGAGTTTCTATCAACAAAGTATATGCTGTAAACGAACCAATAAGAATGTGCCTTTCTTTAAACTGGTTAAACATTTTTAACCAGTTGCACAGGACAGGTTGGGCACTTTAAGTCTTAAAACATCTCCAAACATGTGATGTGGTTTTGCAGTACCAGTGTTGCAGTAGAACCCAAAGGCAGTTAGAAAGCAATGTGGTTTAACGCATCTGGTTTCTAATTGAAATAATCTGTCCTGGGTTGCATTGTATAGTACTGAGCTCAAATCACCATGCTTTAGTTTTTCTTTTTAATTGCACTGAGGTGCAAGTCCCTCTTGCGCTACTTCACATAATATACTAAGCCAGTTTGTTCATTCGCCGTGGTGGTGCAGTGATTAGAGTGCAGTACTGCATGCTATTTCTGCTGCCTGCCAGCTGCCTGCAATTTGGCAGTTCAAAACCCGCCAGGCTCAAGGTTGATTCCGCCTTCCATCCTTCTGAGGTGGGTACAATGACAACCCAAATTGTTGGGGGGCAATATGCTGACTCTTTAAACCACTTAGAGAGGGCTGTAAAGCAGTGTAAAGCGGTATATAAGTCTAAGTGCTATTGCACTCAGTGTAAATTCAGTCTGTGTAATTTGTAAACCATGCTTTTGGCTTGTGTGATCCCAGGCAACAAACTATGGTTCAATGTAGCGTGTGAACCCAGTCTCTGCATAAAAAGAAGCCTTCGGTAAAGACCATATGCATACGTTCATAGAAATAATTACCATATCTGGGTGAAATGGCCATGAACAAATTAGTGCGCTGTTTTTTAAAATATAATATGTTTTGAAGTAACAGAATAATTGGTTATGATCCTCATTTTCTATATGTTGGTATCAAATATCTTGCTTTAGAACATTTTCAACTTTACATAAAGCTCTTGCATCTGTGTCTCAGGAAATTTAATCTTGAACCTTTGCGGGCTGTGTTGTCTTCAGCCAATTCTGTTTCTTTAGAATTTGCCAAACCTGGAAAACTCCTTATTTTTTCATTGAGGCTCATTTTCAGGAAGGTGAACAACTAGAAATTATGCTTGCAATAAAGAAGCCAAGGAAGAGATTATTAGATCTCCACATACATACACATACGTAGCCTACTAATGTGTTCCTTGTTTTTTTTACCATGACAGTATAACAGATTTGCTCTTTTAAAATTGTAATAATAATTAAAATGTACAAACAAAAACAGCCTATTATTTCAGAAGCTAACTGAAAGTTTTTTTACAGGGAACATCTGGGCCAGACCCAACCACTGTGTATGTTGACATGAGGGCTCTCAGACATGACAGGTATAAGTTTTACTTTAATTTTGCAAAATTCATACCAGAAGATAAGAAATATTACTACCTTGTTTCTCCAAAAAGAAAGCCGGGTGTTATTTTCTTTTGACCCTCGAAAAAACGGCTAGGGCTTCTTTTCGGAGGGTTCTCATTATTGATTCACTTCGCAGTGGTGGCACCAACAGCCCTGCCCAGCAGAAGCCCGCTGCTGACCCACTTCTGCGGCCACTTGCACGCATCGCCCCGGCCTCCATTTCACCTTCAGATGCCTTCAGCAAGCGGCCACAGAAGAAGGCGAGGTAGGGGTCAAAGTGTGCGAGGCCTGTTAAGTAAGGCAGCTCCACACACCCCATCCCCACCCTAGCTTATTTTCACCTATGTGCCTCGCCCCACCCCTTGCATCCTGGGGTGGGTGGGGCCTTAATTCGGGCTAATTTTGTGGATGGGGCTTAATTTGATTGCTTGCAAGCCTGATAGGGCTTCTTTTCAAGGTGGGTCATCTTTTTGAAGAAACACGGTACGCGTTATTCACATAAGTGTAAAAGGCATATATTTTTTAAAATATAGCAAAAGAAAAGAATGCAGTTACTTGAAAGAACTGAATTTCCAGATGGCGTTTCTACATTATTAAATTAAAAATACATTGGTTCATCATAGTCCTTTTGCATAATTTGTAATAACTATCCATATTCGGGGGGAAAGAGTATCACTCTGGGGGTAGTTAGTAGACTAAGAGAAGATTCTACCTTTCCATGTGGTATTCCTGCTACTTTTTCTTCCTCTTTTAATCTCTTAATGATCATTTTTGGTATAACTGTGATTATTGTTATCACTGTTTTATCTTTCTAATGTTTTTGGTTTTAATGTTTGCAAGTCAGAAATGCCTCCAGCTAAAATGTGCAGCACATAAATCCAATAAATAAATAAATACATATTCCTACCTTCTTTCTTCCTATATCTATGAGCATCCCATAGTATGGCCAATGCCCCTTACAGCTGCTTCTCAGCCTCTTTTATAAATCCAAGCAAATGCAAATTCTACTGTTGGAATGACATTTGCAACAACAGGTGCAGTGAAAGCTGTTGAAATTGTAGCCTTCATTTTCATGGGCACCTCTGACCAATATGTGGTGATGTAAGAGGAGATATTTGGAACTTGGATGAATAAACCTTTTGTGGATGAATATGCTTTTTAAAAACAAAATATGCAGTCTTCCTTGTGATTATGTTTGTCTGTAGAACCTAAATAGGAGTTGTTGGAGAGACCTTATTAGAAGAACAAAACAACTTTTGATGGTCTCTTGCTTTTCTGTACAGAACTAATTGGAGGGTTTAGCTGTTTGCTCTGTTCTCATTGGAAAATTAGCACTGGTTTGATGCCAAGTGGATACAGTTCAGAGAAAGGCTTAGAATAGGGATTCAAAGGGGGAAAGGGGCTTCAGAATACAGGAGAAAAATGGCTATTCCTGGTTAATGACAGATGCTACCTGTGCACTCGTTTGCTCCCAAAAGCACTTGAATCCAAAACACTACACGACAGTTCTATATTTATTTTTTTTACATTTATATACAAATTTATATTAGTGTATTTCTTGATTGTTTTAAAAAATGTGGGATCATCTCTTCTTAGCCTCTGTTCTGCAAATCTCTCAGGCCAGTGTCGAATGCAGTCCCAGGTGGTACAATGAAATGAGTACTGAATTCAGTCTCAGTTGAAACACAAAGCTCAGGGACTTGACCATGAGGAGCACTACCTCTTCAGTCTAGTTGCTGTTTGTAACCTCCTACATACAATCTTTAGCTTTTGTAGGGGAAGCGTGCTATGCTACATAAATAATAATTATTTAATGAATAGTTATTAAAACCAGTCTATCGTTTTTCAAAGGGATAGCGGGGATGACAAAGAAAAGCCAATGTTCGGATTGACCTGTTTGAGAAATTGCTGCTTTGAAGGAGTATATAAATATAAATTACTCTTTTTATTCCTCTTTTTCTGGCTCCGATGTACAAAAGCTACATATGCTACAAGGTCAGGAAGCAATTTCACATAGATTAATAGTCTATCCTAGCAAAAGAATTGAGCAGCTCTAGATGCAGCTGAGGTACAGTGAAAAAAATAGCAGCAGCAACAACTGTTCTTTTGTCAAGTGCTCTGTTCTTTTAGGTCTACCCTTCCTTGACCTGCTCCATCTTCTCCCTGCAAAGTCTTACCTGTAGAAGCTGATTTCAGTTTTTTTCAAGCTAAGAGCTGTCATTGGCTTTCCATAATTAGGCAGAACCAGGGAAGAGCATGAAACAAGGGCAAAGCCAAAACTGTATTTCACTTAAATGTATTAAACAAATTTTAATGTAATGCTGTTAATATTCTTCCCAGTGTATTTAATAATGCCCTCTTCTCTCTTTAGAAATAACAATGTAGTGCAATATTTTAACTATCTTGAGCACCTCAGTCAGAGGAATCTACATAGCCCAGTGTTTTTTATCTTGTTAACTTAAAGATCTGTTGATCATTCTGGGGACTGAAGTTGACAAGTCTTAAAAGTTGCCAAAGTTGAGAAATATTTGAGTTAGCCGTTTCTCAAGATCTCAGCTTGAACAGAAAGCAATTTTGCTTGGCTTGTTAAGGTTGAGGGGTTTTTTTTAGCAGGTGCATTGCATGCAACATAAAAAGAGGTCATGCTCTAAATTGTGTGGTTGTGTGTTCCATGTTGACTTTTTGCACCCATAGACATCATAGGCAACCATTTTCTCACTTTTGCTAACTGCCTGTGCGGGATCTGACAAAGATCTGTTTTCTTAACTGATAAATGAGAGGTGCACAGTAGGAGCTCTGTAGTTCTGAATGTAACCTGATGTTGAAGGTTTTCTAGGACACCTACTTAGAAAGAAGTAAGGACAATGAACTATGCCAACCCAGAAGTGCCAGAGACTGAACACAGATTGCCTCTGAACAAAAGGAGGAAAGAACTTGAATGTATGCAAACACACAAACACACACCATGGGAAGCTGTCTCTGGACACAATGGTCCTACCAATTCTGTTTCCTGCTAGTTAAATTGACCTGCTTTAAATTTAAATAACATCCTTGATCACAATACAAGGTTGTTGGGCTTATGCATAAATTGGGATTTCAATCAGGGCATCCTGATTTAAAAGTAATTCAAGTTGTGTCCAGTAGCCCTTTCCAGTAAGCAGGAGGGGGACTGCAGTTTATTTCTTTTTTTTTAAGCTAGTCTCCCCTTTAGCAAATAGAAAGCAATTGGGCAAACTAACAAGGGCTGAAATTCAGGTATTTAAGAGGTGTAACTGTGCATGCGCATCTGGTGTTGCAGTTTTTCTTCATTCATAATTCTATATATTTTTTTTTATTTTCAGAGTGCGTTTAGTAGAAAGAGGGTCTCCCCATAGTTTGCCTCTCATGGAATCAGGAAAGGTAAAAATATAAAAATTCTTAACCATCTGAATGGAGTGATTAAACAAATATTTTAAGGGGGATATATGCATGCAGATATATGATTATTTACACTGAGAACTTGCAGAGTCATGCATATTATCAACTTCTAGAAACCTAGGATTCTGAAATGAGTGTATTCATTATGGTTTCCTGCTATTAAAGATCAATATTTCCAGTTATTTGATGGTGTTTCAAGCACGCCTTTAGTCTTCCCAGGGTTAAATCTAAATCACCTGGACTTCCTCAACTTGGAAAAATTATTTATATCAAAGCTTTTCATCCATTTGTATCAATATTATCTGTATCACATGTGGACAAACTATGCTCTGAAAGACACATGCAACTCTAGAGGTTTACTGTATCCTGCTTTTCTTTTCCTATTATTCCACAAAGAAAGTGCCCATTTTTCTCAACTCTCCATGGTAGAAAAGCTGAATGAAACGGTGTGAAAGATAAAATGTATGAATGAGAGGAAGGAAACTTTGCAACTGGGAAGAAATGTGAATGAAAGGATGTAGATGGAAATGTGAGAATGGAGATCAATAGATATGTAGGGTGTAGAAGAAAGAAAGATGCTATGTAGCTTTGGTCTTCCTGAGGCAATAGATACATTGCAATGGATGTGTGTGTGTGAGAGAGAAAATATATGGAAAGCAAAATGATTGGATGATTAGGAATTAACAGAAAATTTGGGATTTGGAACTGATCTCCATGATTCTCCTCACCATCGCTCCACATTTTGGAAAGAATGTGCATCTGAGCTCCGTAAGACTCCTCTCTGGTCTATGCTAATTGGCAATAATTCCTGAGGGAACTCATTGTAAGAAATTGTGTTTGGTTCCTTATATATGCAGAATACGTGCTTACCATATGCTTTTCAGATCATTAGCACTGCTGGTGGTCATGATTTTGGGCACAAATGAAAACACCAAGACTGATGAGTCATCCACCTTAGTGAAGAGCTAATTCACAATAATGAATTTACAAAGCTTGAGTATGGTGTCACTTTCCTCGGAGAAATTGCACCCACCTCTTTCCTTTTGGGAAGCCTGCTGTGTTTCTTAAAGATTTTCAGAAATGAGGTGGGGAAGTTTTGTTGTTGTGTGAAACAATATAGACACAACCTGGCTCTTGACCAAATATGACTCATTTTGTCTTTCAATAGATCCTCCCCGGCGTTCGTATCATTATTGCTAATCCAGAAACAAAGGGCCCCCTTGGTGACTCTCATCTTGGAGAGGTAAGTCCCACACTGTGCCAAGGTTAGGGCCAAATGAGAGGAGTTATTACAGGTCAACTCCTTTTTCTCATAGCATTATTTGGGCAGCCTAATCTAGCAGGTGATATATCGCACAGCTTAATGAATGTGTGCGGAATTAATGATGCAGTATCTACTTTGCATTGTCATACAACACCTGTTGTACATGCAACCCATAGTTGCAGATGAACGCATGATTTTTGACAGTACTCACCCACTTCAACGGTTGTTGTTGGTTTGCTGTTTTTACTGCTGCTTTTTTAAGTTCTGCCTGAATTCATGTGATGTGTTAGGGGAAATGCCAAATTTTGCAAGATGTGTTAATCTTGAAAAACCATAATCATTGGGATCCAATGGCTACTAGTGATTCTCAAACCTTAACATCTGAAAGTAAATTGATGTTCCTGTTAATGAAGGCCTCTCATGGAAAGACCAAAGGTTTAAAACCTTTTGAAGCAAAAGAAGCTTTCCTGCAATTAAAACATATTTGTTCCTGTTTCACAAGATATGGGTTCACAGTGCCCACAACGCCAGTGGATATTTTACAATCTATGGTGATGAATCCCTACAATCAGATCATTTTAACTCAAGACTGAGTTTTGGAGACACACAAACTATCTGGGCACGAACTGGCTACCTGGGATTCTTGAGGAGGACAGAACTTACAGATGCAAATGGAGGTAGGCTTTTTGGTTAAGTTTTGAAAATGACATACCCAGCGCAGCCTTTGGGGAGTGTACATAGTTGGAGTACATTATGCAATATTTTCTCAGCAGTTCTGTTGTTTACGTCAACCATGCCTGGGCTATAGAAAGGATTAGAAGGATGATATGCTTTGGCTAGAAGAAGTTACTTTACACAGACCCTCTTTTGCAGGGGTGTCAAACTCAAGGCCCACGGGCCGGATCTAGCCCGCAGGGTGCTTAGATATGGCCTGTGGAGCTGGCCTGGAAATAGTAAAGGACTGGCTCACAGTGCTTCTGCTAGCAAAAAAGTGGGGGGGGCACACATGGCCCTCCTACACCCCATTTTTGGCCTTGAGGGTTACCTGTATAATGAGAGTGAGGGAGGGTCTCAAGGAAGCCCTGCCTTAGCACTTGGCCACCACAGGTGCCCCTCCCTGACATGAGTCTCGTGTCATGCCCACCCCAGCCATGCCCACCCCCAGCCACACACCCTGCCGGCCCTCCGAGGTCAAACACAACCCTGATGCAGCCCTCAATGAAATCAAGTTTGACACCCCTGGTATTTTGCATCCCTATCAACCCTTCTGATGTGCAAAGGTATATTATCTAAGTTTTATTTTACATGCCTTCCTAGAATTGCTCCCAAAATTGTAATTTTATTATCTTGGACAGTAATAATATTAACTATACTAAATCTTCATTAAATATAAAAGCAAAGCAAATTGCTTTCCTGGCCACATTTACGTTGATCCAGAGTTTCACTCCCCAGTGTGGGCCTCATAAATCACACTGGCCTTCTGTAGTGTAACGCAGTGGCCCCCAACCTTTTGAGCACCAGGGGCCGGTTCTGTAGAGGCAGGTTTTTCCATGGGCCTGAGAGGACGTGGTTTCGCATGCTGCCCACATCCATGAATGGGGCTTCGCTTGTTTGTGCGGACCAGTTTCTGCCATGCCATAGACCAGTGCCGATCCATGGACGAGGGGTTGGGGACCTCTGGTGTAAAGGCTAAAACAAGCACAACAGGCATAGCACAGTTAATCCCTCTCCTTCCAAAACAAAAAAATAGAAATCATGGCTCATCCAAAAGTGTGACATAGTTCCGTCCATATTCCATTTCCACCAGAAGATCGGCAGTTCTGAGAAAGAGACTCCAGAAGCAATTCTAAATCTTCAACACACTAAAAGGGAATTAAATGTGGGTGCTACCTAGCAAAAGGTTGCCTATTCCAAATGAGTGACATATAGAATTTAGTTTAACATCTCATTTGAGGATGAAGGTGTATACATGAATCCTGATTATCTATAAATGATATAATTTGCAGCATTTTTGTCACTTTAGGTCATGATGTCATTACATTTGACTTAGATGATATGAATGAGTTGGACTATTGTGGATTGTGTGAAATTTGTGATTTTGAGGTGATCTTTGGAGGAAACGTTTGTGTGTTTCATCTAAATTGGATAAACAGAGATCCATTTACCGTATCTCAAATGCACTTTCTTTTTAGTGAATGGGACAATTGTCTAGCGTGTTTCCCTGAAAATAAGACCTGGTTATATATAAGACATCCCCTCGAAAATAAGTGCCTATATATATATTTTCAAAGGGATGTCTTTGCACTTATTTTCAAAGGGATGTCTTTCACTGACTCACCTCACTTGTGCCTGTCACCCCGGTCTCCTTTTCTCTGTCAGAGGCCTTCAGGAATTTCTTCTGCAGCCAGCAAGGCTTTCCTGAAGGACTCTGCAGATGATAACAGAGCTCCGGATCGATCCAGAGCTCCGTTGTCAGCTGTAGAGACTTTCAGGAAACGCTTGCCGGCTGCAGAAGAAGTGGGCCGGCAAGGCAGGGATGTGCGAGGCCTGGCTGCAACTGTCCAAAGGTAAGTAGTAGGGCAGCTCCATCGCCCCCTGCCGCCAATACTAGCTAAATTTTTACCCATGCGCCGCGCCCTACCCTATGCACCCCAGAGTGGGCAGGGTCTTAATTAGGGCTTTTAGGGTAGGGCTCATATTGGGCACACATGTAAAAAATTAACTTTTCAGGATAGGTCTGTTTTTTTTGAAGAAACGTGGTATTAATATCAGATTTTTTGATAATTCACATGTTAGCGTGGGTATTTGCATCTCTGTTTAATTATTTAATTACTAATACCATTTAAAAATGGAAGCATCAAATTAAATAATTGGTGTGTGTGCGTGTACATGTGTTGATGTATCACACACTGATAATTGACCAGAAGTTAATACAAGGGGCTATCTTTTCATGACCCCAGAAATCAGAAACATTTAAGATCACCCACTAGTCTAGAGCCCCAGTCTTGATGGCAAAATCAGTTTTCAAAGTTTTATTATCTGTAATTATTTCTTATTTCATTTTATTATTGATGGTCCTGCTTAAACCTGGTTAGAATGGCTCAGTGGTTAAGACACTGGGCTTGTCAGTGATAGCCTGGGTTTGAGACCAGAGTGTTGCCCGACGGGATCAGTGCTGTCTTTGCCTAGCTTCAGCTCACCCACTGTAGCTCCTGTCCACCTAGCAGTTTGAAAGCTTGCAAATTAGAGTAGATAAATGGGTACCACCTCGCTGGGAAGGTAAGCACTCCATGGCATCATGCTGGCCACATGATTGCGGAAATGGCTTCAGACAGCGCTGGCTCAATGGCTTTGAAATGGAGATGGGTATTACCCCATATAATAAGTAATGGCTAGCAGAATAAAATCCGCAGGGACTCCTTTCCATTCCTTCCTGCTTAAACTTCAACTAATCTTATATGAGATTATTATAAATTTATTTTATTTTTTTAGCTATTCTATGGCCCATATCAATCTTCTTTAAGAAAATATGTCAAGAAGAAGGAGTGGGGGAGGAAATAAATACAACACCGTTTTAATTGCTCTTTCTGTATTAATCAAGTGCCTTTTACCATGTTTCCCCGAAAATAAGACTCTATCTTATATTTTTTTTGAACCCTAAAATAAGCGTTTGGCCTTATTGCCATGCACTCAAAAGCCCGATTGGGCTTATTATCAGGGGATGTCTTATTTTGGGGGAAACAGGGTATTTTTAAAAAGTTGTATATTTCACCTTTATTATGTAATCTTGAGATCATGTATAAGAAATTGAAACAGAAACCAACTTCCCCCACTCATAACACAAAGAAATTCTCCAGAGAGGTTGAGACTACAGTTCCCAGAATTCCAAGCCAGATTGAGAAAAGCTTTTCCTAAAGAAAACAACTGTAAATTCAGAGTTAGATCATTCTATTAGCACTGCCACTGGTGGTTTTGTATAATGAACCATTTCTGTTTTTCTTTTTCCTCTTATGGTGTCAGAACGACACGATGCACTTTACGTAGTAGGTGCATTAGATGAAGCCATGGAACTGCGAGGAATGCGGTATCATCCCATAGATATAGAGACATCAGTGATTAGAGCACACAAAAGCATTACGGAATGGTAAGTACTGGGTAATGGTTTCGCTGTGTGAATACGTGCATTTGTTTGAACAATGCCACACCAGTGGTGGGTTCCTCCCAGTTTGGTCCGGTTCGGCCGAGCCGGTAGCGGTGACGATATGACATCACCGAACCGGTTCCCCCCCCCACGTTATTCTAACCTTTTATTTGGCCCCACCCCCAATCTATTGCTGCCTCCTGAGTCCCAGCTGATGACTAGAGGGAAAAAAACTGTTTAAACTATTGACGCGGGGCTTCAAAGGGCCGTCCTACAGCTGATCAGTGTTAAAAGCAAACAAATGAGTTGGGTCGTAAGTGCGAGGACTGATCGTAAGTGCAAGGACCTTCCAGAAATGACTCTGACCAGCTAGCAACGCCCACCTAGTCACATGACCTCCAAGCCACACCCACAAAATAAGCCACGCCCACAGAACCGGTAGTAAAAAAAATTAGAACCCACCCCTGTGCCACACCTCTTTGGACTGGGTACAAATTCATTTGGATCATGTTCTTTCGCACCACTTGCATTTTTTTGCTTGACATTCTTATTTTTTTGTTAGTTGCTCAACATCGCATTTGTAGGTTGGGCAGCCATGTTATTCATTGAATGAATGAAATCAGTGTGTTAGTCAATGATGAGTGTACCAAAAAGTCATTTGGGTTATTCAGAAGAGTAGAAAATGCCCACAGGATTGGTGATTTAAACAGCTCATCAAAGTTTCGGGAACCAGGAATATATTTATTTTTCATTTGCATTCAAGACTTGCACATTTTCCCCAAAGAGACATTTAGGGACAATTCCATTAAAGAAAATAGCCACCATGAGCTCTGAATTACAGATTAAACAAATTGGTTTACATTTTAGCATGAACTGATGAATTCAACACCTATGTTGCTTTTTCTTTTTTTCTTTATTAATGAAAGATGGGAAACAGTTTATCAAACCAAATAAGGTAATAGAATCACAAATATAAACACCACCAATGGCATTAATTTTTTTTAAACGGCAAGCAATAGTTTGTGTGTGTGTGTGTGTATTGCTTGCTCTTTAAAAACATTAATGTCAAAGAAGTGTTTATATTGTATTACTGTACATACAGTAATTTACTGTATTTTTCGCTCCATAAGATGCACTTCCCCAGTGGGTGGAAATGTCTGTGCGTCTTATGGAGTGAATATCGCAGCCGGGCTATGATGGCTGGGACCTTTTACAGTGCTGAACCCCACCAGAGTGCAGGAGTCAATAGGCAGAGCTGGCACATGAGAGGACACCTATTTGTGGTCCTCTCAGGCTCCGCCTCCTGCCCTCACTACACTGCTGCTCTATATTCGACGCTCCATATTCACAGTGAGACAGTGCTCCATATTCATTTTTTTTTTCTTGTTTTCCTCCTCTAAACCTAGGTGCATCTTATGGTCAGGTGCATCTTATAATGCAAAAAATACGGTGTGTGTATATGTGTGTGTGTGTATATATATATATATATATATAGGTCTTTGGTTATTCGGGTCTTCTCCCATGTAAAATTGGAAGTGTCTTGGCGACGTTTCGACGAAGTCTCATTCGTCATCTTCAGGCTGGTGTTCTCGGCTTCGTGCTTCCAGGAACAAACTTCCAGGAGCAAACTTGAATATGACGAATAAGACTTCGTCAAAACGTCGCCAAGACACTTCCAATTTTACATGGGAGAAGACCCGAATAACCAAAGACCTACATACAAACACCCGCGAAAACCTGAGAAAACATTTATATATATATATGTCTTCTTACGTTTTCGTGGGTGTGTATATGCAAAAAATTAAAATCTCGGGTGTTTTCCCGCGTCACGTTAAATAAGTTGGTTAAAATGTTTAAAATTCTGGTTAAACTCCTAGCTTAAAATCTTCTAAAAATTTAATTTTTTGCATATATATATGTGTGTGTGTGTGTGTGTGTGTGTGTGTGTGTGTGTGTGTGTGTGTGTGTGTTTCTTCTAGCCAAATATATATATATATATATATATATATATATATATATATATATATATATATATATATATATATTTTTTTTTTATTTCTGGAATATAGATATAGAAATGGATGGCATTGAACAGCTCCAGGAAATTTAACAAAACTGATTAACAATCCTCTTCTCTGCCCCTCTATAAAAACAGATCCATTTCCAAGTTGATGTAGACATGTATTGTCAATACATTTTTACAGGGTTAGAATTATCCTTCCCAATAGTGCAATAATTATGTTGGCTCTCTCTTTCTCCTCTTCCCATGCATGGAGTGTATTGATATAATTTTCCCCATCACCTTCCAGCGCGGTGTTTACCTGGACAAATTTGTTGGTTGTTGTCGTTGAACTGGATGGATCAGAGCAAGAAGCCTTAGACCTGGTTCCTTTGGTCACCAATGTGGTCCTGGAGGAACACTATCTGATTGTTGGGGTCGTGGTGGTGGTAGACGTTGGAGTCATCCCTATCAACTCCCGTGGAGAGAAGCAGCGAATGCACCTACGAGATGGATTTTTGGCAGACCAGTTAGATCCGATCTATGTGGCCTATAATATGTAGTCTTATATCTTTAAGGTTTCCCATGGACTGGACTCTAGATGTATAAAACACTTTTTTTATGTACACTAAACAATGTACAAGTAACGGTCTTCAGAATGGAACTCTTTCTCTTAGGACTTATTGAAGTACCCATTATTGGCAGGACATAAAAATGTGAAATGTGTTTCTTTTACCACTACATTTTAGCACAGAAGGACTTTGGGGTACTGCCTTCGGTTTGTTGGAAAGCCCATTACTAGACTTTTTAAAATAAGATTATTTTTTGCTTATTGGGATGAATACTGCTTTCTAAGTAATAGGCTTTGTATCTTATGTTAAACTGAACTTGCTATTTTTTTTTTTTTTAATCTGCCCCCACCTAGCCATTCACCCACACATGGATATTTTTGAACAGCTCATGATATGATTGAATTGTTTTGGTTTGCTTCTTTTTAAAAAATGTCTGTATAAAATCAAACTTTTCTCACTATGGCCCCATTACTAATTTTAAGCCGTTTTCTATTCCATTCACCTAGGAAGCTACACTGAGGTACGAGAAAAAATACTCAAAACAGCACCTTCTCAAATTAGAATTTTTAACAGCTTTCTCTCCTGGAAATGCTGAAGTTCAGAGGTAAAAAAAGAAAAAAAGCCTTTGATTATTAGTGTTAGAATGAACAAATCTTTATAAATAAGGTGTATTTCGGCAATGAACTTGCAGATATCTTTGTACTAAACTAAAAAGATAAAATAAGTTAACTACTTCTGTAATTATGTACAAAACCTTTAATTTATTTTGATCTCTTTAGAAGTATAAAAGAGAAACATTCAAGAATATTAAACTCTTGCAGTGTTTGCTAATATAAAAACAAAAGGTTGTATTATCTTGAGTGGATAGTATCACATCAAAAATATATATATATGAAATATGAATTCACTAATGACAAAAAAAAGTCATAAAGTTTTAAAAAGATGCAGTACTCATCACTTGCATGGTGTCTCTTTTCCCACTGTAGATAATGAACATTATTCACAAACATTTAGGGGGAAAACAGCAGTTCTCGATTGCTCAGTGTCCCCACCTAAAAGAATCTTCCATATACCAGCAGATACAAATTTGTTTGCTGCCGCTTGCAAGGCAGTGAGTTGATTTCAAGGTCGCAGACTTCTTGTCTTGCTCAGTCTGAGAGCAAGAGGTTAAGCAGTCCCTTTAGGAGCCTGGGGTGAGTGTCCCCTGCCCATCCAACTCTCCCAGCTGGCTGTTCCCCCAAACTTGCTTTAGCTCCCCACAAGGGCCCTGCTTTTTCCTCCACCATCCTTTTCCTCCGATGGTGCTGCAGTTCTCAAGAGGGAAGGCTGAATTGGAAGGGCCGTAAAGTCTTGGCAAGTCTCTTGGGAAGAGCCGAGGCGACAGGATGCCCCCTGGCAGGACAACTAAACCAGGACAGAACCTGCTTATCATGACTCTTCCCAGAGCAGATCGACTTGTGTCCAAAGACTTGGAACAGTGCACTACAAAGAATACTATTCTTTACCATCGAGGTGACCATAAATGTTGGCATGTATGTTGATACACTTTCTTAGATGTTAGAAAAGGCAGGTTTGAAGTATAGCACTGTTTTCCTTAGCTACATAATATTGTTGCACAATAATTGTCATTTTTTTTTTTCTTTTCAAGTTCAACTTTCGTTTTTGTTAATACTTTTTAATGGGTTTTTTTTTCCTTGTGGTAAGGACAATTTTTGTTAGCTTTTTGATGGTCGTTTTGCACAAGGGTTGGTTTTTTGTTTTTGTTTTTTGTTTCATTTTTTGTAAAAAGAAAAGAAAAGAAAGGCGTTTCTGCTGTCTGGTTTAACTTGGGAAAGGAGAGAGTCCATCTATTTAACACTTTGTAGAAAGTTGTTGCTTTGAAAAAAATATCTTATTTGTTATTGGACAATAACCAGAAACCCTCTTGATTTGGCCTAGCTTAGTGCACCTGCTAACGTTTGTCAAACTGAGGGACTGAAATTCAAATGTTGTGATGCAATCCTTCCATCTGCCAATAGAGCAAGAAGCGAAGGGAACAAAACCACATATCCCAAGCTTGCCTCTCTCTTCTCCCACCCTTCCCTCTTGCTCTGATTTTTGCCATTTTTAAATCTCTTCAGGTAAATGGACCGCCTGTCCCATTTCTGGTTTTCTCCTTGTCTTCTTTGCTGATTTCATTTTCCTTTAGTAATCCCCAGGTCAACCCATGCTTGATGAGAAGATGAAGATTAACCAGGAAGAAGAACAGCTTTTTTTTTAATTTGTTTTTTTTTTTTACAGGTTCGGAATAATTGCTTAACATCCATTGAAATTTGCATGCGTAACAGAGTTATAGGATAAACACCTCGGGATCCTTATATCTCGCATAGAATGGAATTGTTTTGATGCACCTTTGCAGGTTTCCTTTGGTTCCGGTCAATCCTCTTTTTGTTTTCTTCTTTAATAGATGGGAGTACTTAAAAGGAATGGTTTGTAGCCTCCGTGTACAATACAGAGTATTTCATGATTCTTTTTTTGCATTTTAAGTTTCAGATGAACTTTTTCTAGATTTTCTTTGCCCTATGAATATTTCTCATGTCCCAAAGGCCTCTGGATAGGGAAGAGTTCTGCCACATTGTTCTGTGTGGGGCCATCAAAAATACAATCTGTTTGTAGAACGTCAAGTTGCTACAAAGTTCACACGACTTGATCATGAGCCTAACTGCCATGTATGAACTAACATGTGACATCGCTGCTACCGCTGACACAAATCCAGCTGTCGCTTTGCAACCGCCTCTCTTTTAACCTTCACTTAAGACAACTTTCCACTCCTGGGGAAGCGTGAAGGACTGCAACGCAGTCGTACAGCACCGTTAAATCACTGATCGCTTCGGCAACCTGCCGGTCGTTTCAACTCTTAAAAAAATTAGGACAGTAAATGTAAACTGAATATCCTAGTTTTGTCATGCAAGTGAAGAGAAAAAAAAAACATATGTAACCATCAGATTCAGCAATAAGGAAAGATTGCTCTGTATTAGAAATTGTACTGTAGATAAACCATTCATGAGAATGTATAAACTGTTTGTCTTGTGAACTTGTGCTTTTGAAGTCAGACAAAATCATGTAATCAACCTGATGGACACCTGAAAAGAAAGAGAAAAAAAAAAAAACAATCCCGAACAGGCAAATGAAGGAGGAGGGTTCACAGTGAACATTGAAACACAAAACTAAGCAACAGGAGCAGATTCTTCATGGTGCTCGTTTATTATATATATTTAATCCTGCTTGACACTTTACCCAAGGGGAAACTGTCCCTTTTATCAGTTGAATGTTAGCAGCGTTATTTCATAGAGTGTGGTGACTGGTTAGAGACATCCATGTAACTCAGCCAATCACAGTTCCAAAAAAAAAAATTTTATGTGCAAACAGCAACCTTCTTGTATGTTAAAACACCAGTACGCTTTGTACATCTGTGATAACGCCTGTTTTATATTCAAATGAACGAATAAAAGCTTTTATTTTTGTTGCTCTGAAAAGAATTGGGTGTTTTGTTTTGTTTTTTGTTGGTTTGTTTAATGATCAAAATGGTTCTTTGGGTTTTTTTTAAAAGAATTTCCAGAGTTTTCTCGCACCATATATATTTTTCTGTTGTTTTGTAAAGTGCAACTTTTAGTTGTCTTGAAGTCATTTCACATGTGGTAAGTATATCCCAAAAGCAAATATCCGATTTATAGGTAACAAATATAGGCTGGATTGATGCACTGTATTTTAATTGTGCATTTAAAATAGATTCATGACCCAGACAGATTATTTTGTGATTACATGGATGTTTAGATAGATAGATAGATAGATGATAGATAGATAGATAGATAGATAGATAGATAGATAGATAGATGAGAGAGAGAGAGAGAGAGAGAGAGAGAAAGATGGATGATAGATAGATAGATAGATAGATAGATAGATAGATAGATAGATAGATAGATAGATAGATAGATAGATGATAGATAGATAGATGGACAGATCTATCTATCTATTTTGACTACAATTTGATCTATCTATTTTGGACTACAAAGACTAAGGTACTCCAAAAGCCAAGATATTTCTTGGCCATTGCATCATTTCATCCAAGACAACGTTTTTCAAATTTGACAACTTTTAATATATGTGACTCTCAACTTCCAGAATTCCGCAGCCAGCATGAGTTGAAATCCACACTTCTTAAAAATTACCAAGGTTGGAAAACCCTGATCTAATAGAATTGCCAATGTGCCTGATTGCTAATATGGACTTGGGATTCTATTCACTTTACTACTCATGGTATTTCTGAAAAGGTTGGGTCTCTTTCCTGCAAAAACTGCAAATGCAATGTACTCTCTCTATAAGCCAAGATGAACAGAATAAAAAGTAGGCTATATAGCCATAGAGCATCTTTGCATGGTTAAGAACACCCATATTAAACATTTGGGATTTCAAAGACCTTAAAAGAACACAACTCTTTTCTAAGAAAGATCAATAGCACAGAACAAGAAGGTATTTTCTGCGTCATTCCTTTTTCTAAATATTTTAGAGTGAATTAATTAATTCAACACAGGTAATCCTCAATTTGAAGCCATCTGTTCTTGGGTTACAATGAAGTTACAATGGCACATAGTGACTTATGAATGGTCCTCATACTTACAACCATCCAAGTATCCCCATCGTCATGTGATGGGAATTCAGATGCTCAGCAACCCGCACGTATCTATAACGGTTGCAGTGTCCTAGGGTCATGTGATTTACATTTGTGACCTTCCCCATCCGAATTCCAGCAAGCAACATCAGTGGGGAAAACCAAATTCACTTAATAAATACATGGTTCCCTTAATTGCAGTGATTTTCTTGCAAGCAAAAAAGGCCATAGAATCAGTTACAACCTATTTACCAATCACCTTCTTTAGCCATGAAAATTCTTCCTCCAATTGAGAACTACTTGTAAGCAGAGTACATTGCTTTTTACTTTATAAGAAATGAAAGGTGGAAATTTGTCTTCAGAGTATAATTATTTTACATACGTGTTCCTGCTAAATGTTTTTCCGTTGTTCACCAAGTGAGAATATGAATATTTATACTTCCATTTGACAAGTTTTCTTCCAGTGTTTGGTGCTCAATAGACACTTTTCAGAAGATGTGACACCCCCGTAAAATAATATTTAATGGTTAAACAGTGATGGAAAGTGTAGAGCACAAATGTAGGAAGTTTTAAAAACAAATTTCCAGCTCTATAGTTTACAATTGAGTCCAGCTTTTCAAAATTCTCCACCAGGATTTTTGGCCAAGAGATTGGGCAGAAAATCAAATCACCAACAGTTTCTCCTCAGGATAGGACTTTTTTTTTTTCTTAGTAATGATAGTCACATTTCTTCTGGAAAGCCCCTAGTAGGTCTGGGAGTTCACTGGAAACCAGGAAGTTAGGAGTTGCAATCTGCTGGAGAGAGGATTGTACGATGGCAGGTGGACCATCCTTTTTTCTAAGTGAAAGGACTTAGTACCCTGCCTAAAAATATATTTCACATTCACATTCTTCTCCTTTGAAAGCATTTGTAAAACAAATCCTCTTAAATTGAACGTGAATGTTAGGGGAAAAAATGGAGGCAAATTTCTATCTGGATGCTGAAATCAAAGTATCTTGTTAACTTCCATTATCAATAGAACAGCCACCTTGGACATCCAGTAGCCTTTCATATTTAATAGCCTTCTGTTTGATGATGTGCACCACATGAAAACGTATTTGGAAGGCTAGCCATTTGGCCAAGTTGGCCACCATATTTTTCGGAGTATAAGATGCACTGAAGTATAAGACACAGCTTAGTTTTTGGGAAGAAAAATTGGGGGGGGGGGATTTGCCTACCAGGTATTCATCTGGCTAGCGTCCTTAGTCTGGTCAGCTTCAGCACATTAGTTTGCTGGTTTTGAGAGCGCGCATGCTTTTTATTCCCTGCTTGGGGATAAAAAACAGCTTCTAAAACACAGCTGATCTTTGGAGAGAGAAGCAATGAGAAAAGCAGGCGAAGCTCAGAAAATTGCTTCACTTGCTAGCGCATTGTTAGGGCTGAAAAACAGCTTCTAAAGCACAGCTGAGAGTCAGAGGGAGCAGGCAAAGCATGGAGATCTCTTCACTCACTAGTACCTTGTTAGGGCTAAAAAAAAGGCTTCGAAAAAGCTATATTTGGAGTATAAGATTCACCCAAATTTTCAGCCTCTTTTAGGGGGTGAGAAATACGTCTTATACTCCAAAAAATATGGTATTTTAGTTTACGTTGAACCAAAGAGCATGATAAAACGAAGCATTGCTGTGGTTTAGCATCATTGCATAGGTATTTTTAAGTTAATCCCAGTAGTTCCATGTAGCACTTCCATGATTATGGAAATAAGAAGGAGGTTAGGATGGTTACTTGACAATCCTAGCAACAACTTTCTTTGGTTATATATTCCAAAGCTTGAGCAGTAACTAATTAAAAGTAATTAATTATAATTAATTATAATTAAAATAGAGCAAGAATTAATTTTTCAGAACTGCTCCCTTTCTCCAAGGTCCAACAACCTCAGAGCTAAGCAGGAACCCGGACATTATGGTTGTCACTTTGTCAAAGAATGCAAGATTAGTGGACCAGAGGAATGCTGTGGATATAATTTACTTGGACTTCAGCAAGGCATTTGATAAAAGTAGACCATAACCTACTATTTGATAAGATAGAAAAAGGTGGGTTAGGTAACATCACCAGCAGATGGATTCGTAACTGGCTGACCAACTGCACTCAATGTGTAGTCCTCAATGGAACTGCATCTACATGGAGGGAAGTATGCAGTGGGGTACCCGAAGGCTCTGTTTTAGGCCCAGTACTCTTCAATTATTTGGGTGAGGGGATAGATGGGGAACTCATCAAATTTGCAGATGATACCAAGCTAACAGAAATAGCCAACACTCCGGAAGATAGGCTTAAGATACAGAAGGATCTTAACAGACTTGAACATTGGGCGCTGTCTAACAAAATGAAATCCAATAGTGAAAAAAAGTAAGGTTCTACATTTGGGCAAGATGCACAGATTCAGTATATGTGGTACCACGCTCAATAGTAGTAACTGTGAGAAGGGTCTTGGAGTCTTAGTGGACAATCATTTAAATATGAGCCAGTAGTGTGTTGCACCTGCCAAAAAAGCCAACACAGTTCTAGGCTACATAACTTTAATAATGCCTTGGTAAGGCCACACTTGGAATAATGCATTTAGTTTTGGTCTCCACGATGTAAAAAAGATGTTGAGACTCTAGAAAGAATGCAGAGAAGAGCAATAAAGATGATAAGAGGACTGGAGGCTAACACATAAAAAACAGTTGCTGGATTTGGTTATGTCTAGTTTAATGAGACGGACTAGGGTGACATGATAGCAGTGTTCCAATATCTTAGGAGTTGCCACAAAGAAAAGGGAGTCAAGCTATTCTCCAAGCACTTGAAGACAGGACAAGAAGCAATAGACAGAAACTAATCAAGGAAAGAAGCCGTGACCGGGAGGATTTTTCATCAGGTTCGCCTGATTCGCCAGTTGCGTCCCTTTCTGGATCAGGACTCGTTACGCACAGTCACTCATGCCCTTGTCACCTCCCGCCTGGACTATTGCAACGCTCTCTACATGGGGCTCCCCTTGAGGAGCACCCGGAGGCTCCAACTGGCGCAGAGTGCGGCCGCGCGGGTGGTAATGGGAGCGACATGGCGTTCCCATGTAACACCCCTCCTGCGCGAGCTGCACTGGCTCCCGGTGGTCTTCCGGGTGCGTTTCAAGGTTTTGGTTACCACCTTTAAAGCGCTCCATGGCTTAGGACCTGGGTACTTGCGGGACCGCCTACTACCACCAATAGCCTTCCACCAGCCAGTACGCTCCCATAGAGAGGAGCTCCTCCGGGTGCCGTCAGCCAAACAATGCCGACTGGCGGCCCCCAGGGGGAGAGCCTTCTCTGTGGGGGCACCTACTATCTGGAACGAGCTCCCCCCCAGAGATACGGAGGATCCCGGATCTGCGCACCTTCCGCCGCGCTTTAAAGACCTTACTATTTCACCAGGTGGGCCTGGCCTAATTTTCTCCCTCTTTTATAAAAGATTTTTAATTTTTAAATATCTTTTAGTATTTTATACATTCAATTTTAAATTGGTTTTAAAAGTTTGGGGTTTTAAATTTGTCGGGGCCAAAATTATTTAATTTTATTTTATTCTACTTTTAAATTTTGTATGTATGTGTTTTATTGTTTGGTTGTGCACCGCCCTGAGTCCTTCGGGAGTAGGGCGGTATAGAAATAAAATAAATAAATAAATAAATAAATAAAATAAACTTAGAACTAAGGAGAACTTTCCTGACAATTAGAACAATTAATCAGTGGAACAACTTGCCTCCAGAAGTTGTAAATGCCCCAAAACAGGAAGTTTTTAAGGTGTTGGGTAACTATTTGTCTGAAGTGCTGTAGGTTTCCTGCCTAAGCAGAGGGTTGGACTAGAAGACCTCCAAGGTCCCT